GTACTATTCAATCAATAGTGAAGCCTATGTTTTCAGTACTTCGAAGAAAAGCTGGTCTTGCTGCGACTACCCCGTTGGCCTTATTATTTCTCAAACTTCCATTTTCGCTTCAGAATGCTTTTTACCGATTCCTTTCTTCCCATATCGCATCTTGGCAAAAAATTTTCACTCATCCTGATTTTAAAGATTTTGCCCTTTATGCTATTTCCTATCTTCAAGGATATTTGGGTGCCGAAAGTTGCCCGACTACTATTAACCTAGAACCATGGTCGCAAATTGTTTCTTTACGAACGCATACCTTGTTTAATTCGCTTTTGTTTTCTTCGCGTTTGAACATCACGTGGTCTTTCTCCTTCCGGCCTCTGAGGCGTGATCTACAGCCTGCTTTACCACTCCGTTCTATTCTACCACATTCCATTTTTCAGACAAGTTGGAAACTTTGGAAAAATCTGAATATATTTGTGCTTGCTCAATTGGTTTCGCCTTGTGGACGTTATCTTATGAATTGGCCTGACCTTCGGTACCTTGGCATCGTTGGTCGTAAAGGACGGATTCCTAATTGGTTTACATTTATTAAAAATAATTTTCTTTCTTCTTTTTCTTCTTCTTCTTTACTTTTATCTTCATATTTTATTAATTCTTCTTTTACTTTAGCTTCTATTTGTTTATTAGATCATACTGTTAAAGATTATCAATTTTATCCTCAATGGGCTATTAATTTTGACTCTGCTACTCAAACTTTATCTGTTGGTCGTGTGTGTATCACTTATAAGAAACAAAACTCGGCTATTATGTCTCATTGGCTTCCTGTTTCTACTGTGGCTGATGAACGATCTTATAACCCTTGTCCTGGTTGTGCTGTTAACATTCCTGCCTTATCCAAGAAATCTGCCATTAAACAGCGCTGCAACAGCGAAAAGTGTTTTTTCAATGTTACCCTATCAGAAACTGTGGGCTACCCTACCAGAAATGCCAAAGTTTTCGCGGCTTATCTTCCCATTACTCTATCTACTTCATGGAGTTATGCGACTTCCTTGGCTCTTGTTCATTTTTCTAACGCTTCTCCCGCTCTTTCTCCTCTCTTTATGGATAGAATCGATAGAATTGAAGACACTATTTTACCACTTTCGGTGCAATCTTTGTACACAGATGGTTCGTTCCATCCTGCCAATGATTCTTCGCCTTCTTCCATGACTTCTGCTTGGATTGCTCTTGATGATGATGGATTTGTTCTGGAATCTTCTTCCATGCATCTCCCTTCTTACTTTCCTTCTGCTTTGCGTTCCGAAATTTCTGCTGTACTTTTAGGATTGAACGCCCTTTCCCGTGATTCATCAATCTCTATTCATACTGATTGTAGTCAGTTAATTTCACTGTGGACACGGTTTGTTAATGCTCCTTTCTCACCGAAGTTGCTCCGAGAACCTAATCA